TATGTCCAAGAATCTGTATTGATAAAGCCACTGGATGGCGAAACGTCTACAATAAAGATATCCAGATGTTGCACATGTGTCTTAACTTTCATATTGTCGGTATTTTATACCTTTCTTGCACAACTAAACCAACATAAACCTGAGTCAAGTGAAAATACGTCTCGTCGTTCAGTGGTTTTTACCAGGTTTATATAACTGGTTGGTCGTAATTTGGAATAGTTGATGTATAGAATGTTAATGTAAATAAATGCGTCAGAGAGCTGATAGATTGATGAATTAGACACATGGGCAACACCTAGGTGTCTGTTCAAACGTTTCGCCAACCAGTGGCTTCAGGTCAATACTGAGGCAGCTAGTAGTTGGCGAAGCGTTCCTAGAATAGATACCCAAGAATTAGACACATAGGCAACACCTGGGTGTCTGCAAACGTTTCGCCAGCCAATGACTTTAGATCAATACACCTACTACTTGGCGAAACGTTCCTAGAATAGATACCCAAGAATTAGACACATAGGCAACACCTGGGTGTCTGCAAACGTTTCGCCAACCAGTAGCTTTAGGTCAATAATGAGGTACTAGTTGGCGAAACGTTCCTAGAATAGATATCCAAGAATTAGACACAGTGCAACACCTGGGTGTCTGCAAACGTTTCGCCAACCAGTAGCTTTAGGTCAATAATGAGTTATTAGTTGGCGAAACGTTCCTAGAATAGATACCCAAGAATTAGACACATAAGCAACACCTGGGTGTCTGCAAACGTTTCGCCAACCAGTAGCTTTAGGTCAATAATGAGTTACTAGTTGGTGAAACGTTCCTAGAATAGATACCCAAGAATTAGACACATAAGCAACACCTGCGGGTGTCATGCAAACGTTATCTGGCTAACCAGTGTGGCTTTAGATCAACATAGCTACTACCTGGCGAAAAGTTCCTAGAATAAAGATTCCCAAGGGATGTAGAGGTGTCTAAGTCATCATCATTAAACAATAACACATTATCCTGCATATTATTGTATCAACAACACAAGCCACAGGAACCTAGCAGAAACAAATTCACAAGAAAATGGCGGCGTTCTCCATTTTGTTTATACGAGAGAGTTTAAAATATTTATTTTAATAGGCTACTTGAAGAGTAAATAAAAAAAAATATATATAAACCACAGTGACATAGGTAGAATAATTCACAAAATAAGAATATATTTTCATTTTTGAGTTACAGGCAAATGTTGGTTGGAATTTTATTGCGGCAACGTTTGGCTCTCCAGGAGCTTTGTTACGAAATACATGAAGAGCGAAACGTTGCCACAATAAAGTGTCACATTAGTTATGTTTGTGGTCATTTAGGTAACATATTGTCGGTGATTCTACCAATATTAATGGAAATATTGGGTCTGATAGGCTACGTAATTTACTCGACGCCCTGTTGTTGATGTCTTGGCGGGGGGGGGGAATCACATGTATTTTCTTATTATATACAGATTAGTTGGCTATTTATGCTCAGTCTTTTTCACCGCTATATGACCCTTGTGGTTTTAGCGCTTAGTTTTGATTGTTGGAATATGCTGGGCCTTCGTTTGTAAGGGGGGGGAGGGTTAAGGAATTGGTGCTAGCCTGGTTTTGGATCAACGATGGTGGTGGTTTCAATCTCCAGGCGCTGTTTGGCCCGTGTGGATTTAGCGCTTACTGGTGATTATACAAATATTCATGGTGGATTATTTTCTAGTAAATTTCCCGTGATCTGTCTGCTAACCCACCTAACCTGTCTGCTAGATGCTCCACCTAACCTGTCTGCTAGATGCTCCACCTAACCTGTCTGCTAGATGCTCCACCTAACCTGTCTGCTAGATGCTCCACCTAACCTGTCTGCTAGATACCCCACCTAACCTGTCTGCTAGATACCCCACCTAACCTGTCTGCTAGATGCTCCACCTAACCTGTCTGCTAGATACCCACAACCTAAACCTACGTCTGCTAGATACACCCACCTAACCTGTCTGTTAGATATCTCCACCAACCTGTCTCTAGATACTCCTCCACCTAACCTGTCTGCCAGATACCCTGCCTAACCTGTCTGCTAGATACTCCACCTAACCTGTCTGCTAGATACCCCACCTAACCTGTCTGCTAGATACCCCACCTAACCTGTCTGCTAGATACCCCACCTAACCTGTCTGCTAGATAACCCCACCTAACCTGTCTGCTAATACCCCACCTAACCTGTCTGCTAGATACCCCACACCTAACCTTTCACTGCTAGATACCCACCTAACCTGTCTGCTAGATACCCTGCCTAACCTGTCTGCTAGATACCCTGCCTAACCTGGCTGCTAGATACCCCACCTAACCTGTCTGCTAGATACTCCACCTAACCTGTCTGCCAGATACCCTGCCTAACCTGTCTGCTAGATACTCCACCTAACCTGTCTGCTAGATACCCCACCTAACCTGTCTGCTAGATACCCCACCTAACCTGTCTGCTAGATACTCCACCTAACCTGTCTGCTAGATACCCTGCCTAACCTGTCTGCTAGATACCCTGCCTAACCTGTCTGCTAGATACCCCACCTAACCTGTCTGCTAGATACTCCACCTAACCTGTCTGCCAGATACCCTTCCTAACCTGTCTGCTAGATACCCCACCTAACCTGTCTGCTAGATGGTAGGTAAGACACATAGGCAACAGTTTGGCAACTTTATTCCGAAACGTTTCGCCTACACAGTAGCTTCTTCAGTCGAATACAGAAAGTAGGCAGGAACAGTTGCCCATGTGTCTTACCTCCAACCTGTCGTATTGTATACCATTTTGATGTTCATCCTGTCTGCTAGATACCCCACCTAACCTGTCTGCTAGTTACCCCACCTAACCTTCTGCTAGATAACTCCACCTAACCCTGTCTGCTAGATACCCAACCTAACCTGTCTGCTAGATTACTCCACCTAACCTGTCTGCTAGATACCCCACCTAACCTGTCTGCTAGTTACCCCACCTAACCTGTCTGCTAGATACTCCACCCTAACCTGTCTGCTAGATACCTGCCTAAACCTGTCTGCTAGATCATCCACCTAACCTGTCTGCTAGATACCCTGCCTAACGCTGTCTGCTAGATACCCCACCTAACCTGTCTGCTAGATACCCTGCCTAAGCCTGTCTGCAGACACCCACACCTAACCTGTCTGCTAGATACCCACCTAACCTGTCTGCTAAGTACTCCACCTAACCTGTCTGCTAGATACCCTGCCTAACCGTCTGCTAGATTACCACCACCTAAACCTGTCGTGCTAGATCCACTGCCGTAACACCTGTCTGCTAGATACCCTGCCTAACCTTGTCTGCTAGATTACCCCACCTAACCTGTCTGCTAATACTCCACCTAACCTGTCTGCTAGATGCCCCACCTAACCTGTCTGCTAGATACCCCACCTAACCTGTCTGCTAGATACCCACCTAACCTGTCTGGCTAGATGCTCCACCTAACCTGTCTGCTAGATACCCTGCCTAACTGTCTGCTAGATACCGCTGCCTAACCTGTCTGCTAAGATACCCTGCCTAACCGTCTGCTAGATACTCCACCTAACCTGTCTGCTAGATACTCCACCTAACCTGTCTGGTAGATACCCTGCCTAACCTGTCTGCTAGATACCCTGCCTAATCTGTCTGCTGGCTCGCCTGACCGTCTACTACCCCACCCCTGGCCTCCATCCGATCTCGCTAGGCTCCCCTCCTTATCTGCTTGTTAAGCTCTTCTGATCTGTCTATCCCATCATCTGTCTGCTATCCCCTCTTAACTGTTGCTTTCCACACTGAACTGTCAGCCTCAGTGTCTACTATTCTAACTCTATTCACCGTACTATTCCCACTAAACAGCCCACTATCCTCCCCCTGGGTTATCTTGTCTACCCCCCCCCCCCCTTTCTTCCTTACATTCTGTTGTTCCTATCTGTCTTACTATCCACATTAAATTGTCTGCTACCAAACTACTATGTACTATCCATACCGAATTGTCTGCTTTCTATACTGTCTGCTACCCCACTGAACTGTCTGCCGTCTACACTTATTAGAGAACTATGCACAGACAGTACCAGCAAAATCAGCCATTCTGTTATTCAGATGCCGTAAATACAAAAACTGCTTTCGTTCACTTATTTAAGAGTGATTAGACCCGAGTGTGTGAGGAGGGCAGTGAATGTACATGGGGTGTTGTAAAGGGAGGGTGATTGTGTAAAGGAGGGTGATTGTGTAAAGGGAGGGTGATTGTGTAAAGGGAGGGTGATTGTGTAAAGGGAGGGTGATTGTGTACAGGTTAGTATATGAATGCGTGAAGGGAGTGTAAGGACGAGTGAGATAGGTTGTGAGTCACGAAATCGTAATGATGCAACTGCAAACAAACTATACCATGGGCGGGGTTAGAATCCGCGATCAGAGAGTCGTAAAACTCCAGACCCAGTGGCTAGCGCGTCAGACGCGGGTTCTAACCCCGTCCGTGGTATGATTTGTGAGGTAAGGTTGAGGGGCGACGCCCCCCACGCTAGAGGGGAACTGGAGTCTCAGGTCGCCTCAGATGCACTACAATCCTGTACATGTAACAATATTGTCATGGAGGGAACACGAGTGGAGGGAGTAGCTGGTGATATGAAAATAACAAATGACGTGTGAAGAAAGGTAGAGGAGGAATCAACAATCAATTTGCGAGAGGAGGGAAAGTGCGGAAGAGGGAGAGGTAAGAAACAGTGGAAGGGAAGACGTGAACACTAATGGAAAAGGGTTACCTTGGAGCATGTAAAGGCGCGCTTTATCCACCAATTAAACCTCTTTGGAACATTTGATTACCTCCCATTCCCATAGCGTTGTATGACCCCCTAGGTTATTAGTGCTTCCCCATGAATTCATAATGGTGTAAGCTTAAAGTACTCATAAAATATATATTCTACGAGAATTTCTTAAGTGGCTACCTGTCAACACGCGGAAGAGGCGGGGGACGCACGACCTGTCGAACTTGTGAGAGTGCTGTGTTGTGCGTCACTAATCCCTCACCCTGTGTGCGTGGGCATGCCTGCTCCCTGCCGTGCTTGCCTCTGCCGTGCCTGCCCTCTGCAGAGGGCAGCTCTGCCAAGCCTTCACCGTCTCCTGCTACACAACCATAGTTATGACTGGGACTTGTAGGGAGGCGAGGGGTCTGTAAAGAGCGGCTGTTGTAGTTTACTACTGCGTGGCGGGCTGGGGTTGTGGGCGTGTGGAGGTAAGCGGGGGAAGCCCGCAGGTAAGATACCCTCCGTGCCCAAGCTGGTGCCCGTGTCGAAGCCTACTGAAGGTGGCAGGTGCGGTAGGTGGGCCCCTGGTTGGTTAAGGTAGGTGACCACTCGTCGCAACTCTTCTATGGCATTAGACTGCATCAGGATGAAATTCTTAGCAAGTAAGAGAGTAGCAATCTTAGAGAGCTTCCTGACGGAGGGAGAGTGCGCGTAGGGAATCACAGAACGCAGCTCGTCCAGAGCGTCGTTTAGGTCGTGCATCCGTCGTCGCTCCCGAGCATTAATAGAGAGTCTCACGTGCTTCTGTTGTCGGATCTTCTTGGTTCCGGACGCTAACGAACCCGGCGGACCGGACGGTCCACGTGTGGCTTCATCACTGCTACACGAGCCGCCGGTCTCATCCCTCTGTTCACGTTCTTCCTTCACGGCGGGTGAGCCCCTCCCGCTAGCCGGGTCCTGGTTCTCGATGTTACCCGCCATGGAGTGCTCTAGCGGCTGGAGGGAGGGCATCCCCCGCTGAGCACTGCCCTCCTCCTGGGCACCAGATATTTGACCGCGGTTGAGTCCCAGGAGGTCGTTCCGCAGCAGTTGCATGGACTCGCGGGCGGCGGTGTGGTCGTCCCTGGCCTGGACGTGGTGGTAGTAGGTTGCCGGGGTTGTAGGGTCATGTTCTGGGCGGCGGGCAGGGCCCAGCTGGCCGCCAGGACGTAGGTCTCCGCCGCCCATCAGATGCTGCACGCCCAACATGCCGGGGTACGGGAAGGCGCTCATCATGTCTGCAAAAAAAAAAAAAAAAGTTGGTGGCAGGTTATCATCATGGTAGGAAAACGCTAAACCCGCAGAGAACATGCCCAGCCGGAATAAGAGATGATATTATCATGTACTTGGGAAAGTGCTAATTCGTAAGGGTCATACAGAATCTCTGGAATAAAATGAAGCAGCTTGCAGTAAGATCAAGGCAACGAGGTACCGCAATCCATTTCACATACGTCAGACAATAAATACAAAAAGAATTGTTTAGGTAAGACACATATGCAACTGTTAGGTATCTTTATTTCGAAACGTTTCGCCTACACAGTAGGCTTCTTCAGTCGAGTACAGCAAAGTTGATAGAAGCAGAAGAGGCTTGAAGACGATGTAATCAGTCCATCACCCTTAAAGTTTTGAGGTGGTCAGTCCCTCAGTCTGGAGAAGAGCATTGTTCCATTGTCTGGGTGATGGACTGATTACATCGTCTTCAAGTCTCTACTGCTTCTATCAACTTTGCTGTACTCGACTGAAGAAGCCTACTGTGTAGGCGAAACGTTTCGAAATAAAGATACCTAACTGTTGCATATGTGTCTTACCTAAACAACCTGTCGGTATTTTATACCATTTTAATGTTCACAAAAAGAATTGAATACCATTCAGGTTAATATCGGTATTAGGATTGTTGTTATTTGGATGAATGGTCGTAGTTTTGGCCCTGTTATTTTCCTGCTTTACTATACTTAAGGATTAAGGATTTTATTTCTTCGCGTAGTTTACAATGTGTAATTATAATTTTGATTTGCTAAGTGCAAAGAAAACCACTATGATGCCGGGTCATTTCTGGCTCCTACACCCGTATAACATAGGATAGTTCTTAATTAAGATAGTACTTGCGATATCTTGTGGCTGGTTCTCGATATCTGTGTATAACTTCAGTGCGAAATGTGCTAATTCCCCTGACAAATCTAGGGGATGACTGTAACTCAGTGATTATAATTATAACCTTAATTTTTAAAGGGATGGAGTGGTAAGCCAGTGGAAGGCCTCGGCCAGAAGATTATAAACTCCAGCTGTGGGTTATCATGTGACTAAGACCCGCACCAGGGAACACTTGTCCTGTAAAAGGACACAAGTGCAACTAATGTGACATTTATTGTGGCAACGTTTCGCTCTCCAGGAGCTTTATCAAGCCATTACGTAATGGCTTGATAAAGCTCCTGGAGAACGAAACGTTGCCACAATAAATGTCACATTAGTTGCACTTGTGTCCTTTTACTTTACATATTGTCGGTAATTCTACCAACTTTATTACAACACTTGTCCTGTTTCCTGACGAACCTTACCTACCTAGACACAACAAGGATGGGAAGGTATCAGTGAACTACCACTTCTAATAACTACAACCACAAATACACACTGGAGACCCAGCCACAGACCATCACAGAGTATCAACAAAGAACCTAGGTAAGGAGCTCTGTTATGTATACAACAGTGAACATTAAAATGGTATGAAATACCGGCAGATTGTTAGTTAAGACACATATGCAACAGTTATGTATCTTTATTTCGAAACGTTTCGCCTACACAGTAGGCTTCTTCAGTCGAGTACAGAAAGGTTGATAGAAGCAGAAGATACTTGAAGACGATGTAATCAGTCCATCACCCTTAAAGTTTTGAGGTGGTCAGTCCCTCAGTCTGGAGAAGAGCATTGTTCCGTTGTCTGAAACAATATGAAGTTGAAGTGACAGAATGGGGCCTTTATATAGTGCCAGGAGGTGAGACGTAGGTTGCTTTGGGAGGGCAGGTCCTCAAACCCAGGGTGATGGACTGATTACATCGTCTTCAAGTATCTTCTGCTTGTATACAACAGTATGTAAGCGACACCTTTGATCGAGTGAACCATACCCCCGGCGGGGATAGAACCCGCGGTCATAGTCTCAAAACTCCAGCCCGTCGCGTTAGCCACTAGACCAGCTAGCCACAATAAGATTCATCCAACTAGGTATATTTCTACACCATAGGAAGGTTAGCATAGGCCACCACTGTGACCACAAATGCAAGTTTTTACAGACGAATCTCCAGCTAGCTCGAGTGATTTGCCCGGTGGCCCGGTGGCCTGGCCAGTGGCCCGGTGGCCTGGTGGCTAAAGCTCCCGCTTCACACACGGAGGGCCCGGGTTCGATTCCCGGCGGGTGGAAACATTCGACACGTTTCCTTACACCTGTTGTCCTGTTCACCTAGCAGCAAATAGGTACCTGGGTGTTAGTCGACTGGTGTGGGTGGCATCCTGGGGGACAAGATTAAGGACCACAATGGAAATAAGTTAGACAGTCCTCGATGACGCACTGACTTTCTTGGGTTATCCTGGGTGGCTAACCCTCCGGGGTTAAAAATCCCAACGAAATCTTATCTTATCTTATCTTATCTTATCATGAACGCCGTTTTCCTTTTTATTTCCCCCGCAGCGTTGCGTGACTTATGGGTTTAACGCTTAAATTATACTGTTGTAGTTTTAAGTTAATGGTTAATTGCCCACTGTTATATTGCCCATTGACCGCAAAAAAAAAACACGATAGTTTAAGCTGTTTCACACGCATTCTGACAGTCCTCCTTTTTTAACGCTGATTTCTTGGGTTTTTAGGCCCTCGTCAGATTGAAATCCTCACTTCAGCGAGGATTTCAATCTGAAGGACAACTTGACTGTGCTACTTTCACCTTCTATATTCATAAAAAACCGAAACAACTTTATCCTCTACTTACATTTATTAATTTTGGCCTTTTTTTATTATATTTAATGTACAGTATTTATTTTTATAAGTATTTATTTCACTATTGCTCGTTTTAACGTAATCAGTTGTCACCCATTTCCTTAGTTCCTTCAGTCGTTATTTGTGTCTTGACATCGTTCTGCTGACTTGACTCTTCTGCCTCTTGGCCCGTTAATTTGACGTTAAGATAAGATAAGATAAGATTTCGTTGGGATTTTTAACCCCAGGATAACCCAAGAAAGTCAGTGCGTCATCGAGGACTGTCTAACTTATTTCCATTGGGGTCCTTAATCTTGTCCCCCAGGATGCCACCCACACCAGTCGACTAACACCCAGGTACCTATTTGCTGCTAGGTGAACAGGACAACAGGTGTAAGGAAACGTGTCGAAATGTTTCCACCCGCCGGGAATCGAACCCGGGCCCTCCGTGTGTGAAGCGGGAGCTTTACCCACCAGACCACCGGGTGAACAGTGACAGCAGGTGTAAGGAAACGTGTCGAAATGTTTCCACCCGCCGGGAATCGAACCCGCGCCCTCCGTGTGTGAAGCGGGAGCTTTACCCACCAGACCACCGGGTGAACAGTGACAGCAGGTGTAAGGAAACGTGTCGAAATGTTTCCACCCGCCGGGAATCGAACCCGCGCCCTCCGTGTGTGAAGCGGGAGCTTTAGCCACCAGGCCACCGGGCCCGGTCACGCAAATTGAGGATTTATCGCTTTGAACGTGTTTTTGAAGGCGAACACTTAAGTTTGAGGGACTGTTCACCTTTTTTCCACTGATTTTGTCTCCAATATTTAATTCTGTAGTGGACTGAAGAAGCTTACTGTATAGGCGAAACGTTACGACACTAAAGATTTCCAACTCTTTCACATGTCTTACTCGTCTATTTGTCAGTAACGTTTACCCTTTTCCTAAGTTATTGAGACTACTGTTGCCAGCTACATCTAAGGGAAACCCGTCACTTAGACTTAATCTGCGTCGCATCATTCTTCAACAACACTTCCTCCTGGAAAAATACACATTTGCAGTATAATATGATCCTTCATTGACAACGTTTCGCCCAGACAGTGAGCTTTATCACGTCACAAAAAAGATATCTGGGTGAATAGTACATGAGTATTTATAGGTGGAAAATTTGGGTAGGTTGTATTTGAGTCTGACCTGTAAGGGACCGCTGAGAATGTTAGGCAGCTTGGATCTGAGACGGACTCCCAGATCCATCCTACAAGTACATGATACAACTTATACAGACCATAGTTAATATCATTGAGAAACTATATGGGAAACCCTGGGTTATGCAGAGCATTTCCAACAAGTTGGGTTAATTTTGTCCCTCAGGATGCGACCCCCACACCCCTCGACTAACACCGAGGTACCTACTTGCTGCTAGATGCAGTGTTTCATTATGACAGGCGAAACGCCCCTATGAACTTTTTCTGCATAAGGACAGGACAACTCTGAGAATATTTATAGTGCTCCGGTTAACGTTGCTCCTACATCGGGCGACTCACGTTCACAAAACTAATAACTTCTATTGTTTATCTGCTTAAAGGAAAGTTATACAGATTATTCTTTCCACTGGGAGAAATCCTGAAAGGATAGTATAAATCCGTATTTAGTGATCCAGTTATAAAATGGCTGTTATTAGTCTCAGGGTAGTAAATAAAGCACTAGGGGAATGGTTAGGCAGGTTATACCTGGAAGGTGTTTTGGGGGGTCAACGCCCCCGCGGCACAGTCCATGACCAGGCCTCGTGATGGATCAGGGCCTCATCATCCAGGCTCTTACTGCTGGCCGCACGCAAACCAACCACAACCCGGCTGGTCAGGTACTGACTTTTGGTGCCTGTCCAGCTCTCCGTCTTGTATAGTGGGAGGCAGTTGAACAATCTTGGGCCCCTGAGACTTAGTGTCAAAAAATAAACATTCTGGATAAAATGGTTAGTGGGGGTTCAAATTTATCTACCACAGGAGGGTCATTAAGGCTTCATCTCACCCGTACACCACCAGTCAAAACTAATACAGTGGACCCCCGCATAACGATCACCTCCCAATGCGACCAATTATGTAAGTGTATTTATGTAAGTGCGTTTGTACGTGTATGTTTGGGGGCCTGAAATGGACTAATCTACTTCACAATATTCCTTATGGGAACAAATTCGGTCAGTACTGGCACCTGAACATACTTCTGGAATGAAAAAATATCGTTAACCGGGGGTCCACTGTATAACGAGGATTAAAAAAACACACCTTTCGGTGTTTATATGTTTATCTTTAGTCTGGATAAAAATAAATCCCAGGGTGTATATATTTATCCTTAGTCTGGATAAAAATATAACTTCATGGTTCACATTGTGTTAACTATTAGCTGTAGTTAATAGTCTTGTCTGGTAGTTGAGGAGAATAGTCCTTGGTTCTTTCGAACCTAGGACGCCTGGTCTGACACCTCA